GTTCTGAAAAAACTCTGCTTTGTGACAAAGCAGCATGATACCCATCGAGACTTTTTTCCAACTTTTAACTTATAAAATTCACACGTATTAGTAAATTTCGTTACAAGTCCATAGAAAGTGACCTGAAACTAGCTGCATTATAATTGGAATATAAACTATTGTAATCTATAAAAAATGAACAGTTTTTAAAGAAAACGATATATTATGCATTTTTTCGATCAGCTTTACGTTTTCCTTTGCGGAGTAGGCAAGTATAGAAACGATCGCCAGGAAACCGATCTTGAAATACCACTTTCGCTTATTTTTTAGTTATAAATTATTGTAGACCTACAGTTTCATTCGTGGTATCTTTGATTTATGCGGGCGGCCCTCAGGATAGTTCAGGTCAGTAGTGGTTTAGGAAAAGGTTTGTTACGTTCATGTATGCCTTAGGGTTGCACTGCCAGGAACTAATAATAACTAAAGATGGAGAGAGCACTATGCATACTTTCATACGGACTTGCCATGTGAACGATTTGATGTAGATTGTATTATTTTGAGAATCGAAGTTATTTTTTTATCTTTTTTGAATACCATTTCCTATAAGTGTGCTTGGATAATAAGTCTTTCCATTTTGGGGCCATTTTGAATTGTTATAGCGGTCAAAACGCGAACTCACTCACGCTCATACTATCAAGAAGGATTTCATGTTTACTTATTGTAACGGATATGTATCTACGGAATCCTACAAGGCGCGTGACCCGACGTGCAATTGGCCGGTTTTTTGTGCTTATGTTTGGAAGTTAAGGTATTAAACAGCCTAGATAGATAAAGAATTTACTGTTATCAATCTTCTTGATATTACATCATGTATAGATGAAAAAAATAATTGTTATTTGAAAGGTGAAGCATAGTCACAGCTTATTTCCAATAATAATTAATTTATTGTAGAAAAATATACTCATTTTAAAAGCCCTTTTAACCCTCGACGAAAAAGAGGGGTGTTATAAGTTTGACCACTATATTTATGTGAGTCTGTCTGTCTGTCTATGGCACCGTAGCTCGTGAACGGGTGAACCGATTTGCGTGCGGTTTTTATTTAAAAGCATGTTTTCTAGTGGTGGTCTTGGACATGTTTTATCAAAATCGGTTTAGCCGTTTGAAAATCATCAGCTTTTTTTGTTTCGGCGTTTTAAAAATTTTCAATTAAAGGTCAAACGAATTTACGCACCAAATTTGGCACTTTATTATGAGGAGGTGAAGTCGATGTATGAGAATATCTGTAGAGTCATTTAATATACTAAAACTAAACAGTGTCGATGAGAAACTTCAACGCAAAACTAGGCACCAGCAAGGACAGTAAGCTAAAAGTAGGGGCATTTTGAATTGGGCAGCGGAACTAGTAGTAATGGAGAAACAGATTCTTGATGAGCTCTTGCTTCCAGGTGTGATCTCAGAGAAAGTGGACCTGGTGTAGCTCCAACGGTTCGACAAAAAATGAGCTTTACTTCATTATGACGATAAGACAACAGCGGCTCAGTGATCGGAAGGGTGAAAAATGTGGTAGTGATTAACAAATGCTGGAAGGCGCGTGGTTACTTTCAGGTCGAATCACAAAATCGTATAAATGACGAGCTCGAGAAACTGTTCATGTGGCCGAAGCTAACTTTTGCAAGACTCGTCGCGGAATTCAAAAACTTCCAGATCACACTCGTACGGGTCGTCCTAATAGAACCCACGGTCATCGCTGGTTCGCTTCGTATCTTATATCTACTGATGCCCTGGTAATTGAAATTCTCGCTACTACCTAAATCGTATGACTCACATGTTTGCATCAAATTAAAATTACTGATACTGAACTAAAAATCGGCTTCTTTTAGAACACCTGATTCTTGTCAGGTTTTTTTTATATAGAAGAGGGGGCAAACGAGCATGCGGTGATGCGACTCACCTGATGTTAAGTGACTACCACCGCCCATGATCAACCGCAACACCAGGGGAATTGCAGGTGCGTTGCCGGCCCTTTAGAAAGGAGTAATCTCTTTTCTTGAAGGTCCCCAGGTCGTATCGGTCCGGAAAAATCGTCGGTAGTAAACTATTCCACAGAGAGGTCATACGCGGAAGAAAACTCCTTTTGAAACGTACAGTGGTGGACCGCCAAGCATCCAGATGGTGTGGATGGTTTCGGGACGTTTGCCGCGTAGTGCGTTCACGAAATTTGGTGGCTGGGATTAATCCGAACAATTCCTCAGAGCACTTCCCATGGTATATGCGAAAGAAAATGCAAAGAGATGCAACATCTCTTCGCAGCACCAGTGAATCGAGCCGATCGGAAAGCACTCCGTCGTCGACGATTCGAGCTGCTCTGCGCTGGATGCGGTCAAGTGGAAGGAGCTGGTACTGGGGAGCCCCAGCCCAGAGATGGGAACAGTATTCCATGTGCGGGCGAACCTGCGCCTTGTAAAGTTGCAGGCGGTGTGCCGGCATGAAATACTGTCCCGTTCTGCTGAGCACGCCAAGCTTTTTAGAGGCCAATTTGGCCTTCTCTTCTACGTGACCACGAAACTGCACGTCAATCGATATGTCGACGCCGAAGATTCCGATACTGGCTGAGGCAACAAGGGCAGTGCCTTGAAACTGAGGCGATACGACAAAGGGGTTCTTTTTAGCGGTTAACGCGCAGGCTTGTGTCTTCTGGGGGTTAAACTGGACTAGATTTAGTCGCCCCCAATCCGAGACTCTGTTCAGCAAAGACTCTACTTCAGACACAAATTTGTCCCGGTACTCGGAGACGTTTTCCCGAGAAATATTGGCACGGCCGGTGTAAAGAGCATCACCACCACAGGCTTGGTAGCACTCCTGCTTATAGCATGATGTTATTTTACAGGAGCGACCAAACTATGGCTGAGATTTGCCTCCAATGAGCACTACATAGGAAGGAATAAAAAGTTTCATACCCTGAAGCACCAAATCAGCGACATAATCCGCAACAAAGTTGGGATCTTCCAGCGAGAAGCAAACCCACTCCTAAGGGTAAGATGCAAAGAAAGACCGCATCCCATCACAATCGGCTGACCTATAGTGCCAAACACGGCGGCAGCCTGCAGAATGCAACTGCGATTTCAGCGTGAGTGGCACCACACTCCGGACAAGATAATGGTCCGGGGAGCCTAAAGGGACGTCGACGGAAATCTGATATCGGTCCGGGTGAGAGGTCAGCAGAAGTTCCAACAGGGCAGGTGCATGATCCTCCACATCTGGAATCCGCGTAGGCGAAGTAACCAGTTGTGTAAGACCATATGCCAGAGAGGCAAAATCATGAACAGATCTCCCCGCATGATCGGTAAAACGTGAACCAAGCCATTCAGCGTGGTGGGCGTTAAAGTCGCCGAGGATCACGATCTCTGCGGAGGGGATCTGCTGTAGCAACGAATCTGTAGCCATTTAGACGTGGTCGAAGAGTCGGTCTGTTTCGGCATTACCGCTATGGGACCTATAGAGAAACCCGTACACGCACGGATGGTCGTGGCTGTCTACGCGTAGCCAAAGGATGGACAGGACCTTCAAGACTGCCGAGGCGTCGAGAACAAATGTCCTCTCTGACGTAAACGCAAACTCTAGGCCGAGGCACAAAGGACTGTTCCAGTTTATACCCCGGGTAGGAGAGATAAGAGACATCAGCCGGAGAGGACACCTGCGTCTCGGTCAGAAAGAGCAGAGCCGGCCTCGCCGTCTCGAGATGGTAGTGGACGGCGTTTAGGTTAGAATGAAGTCCCCTGATATTGCAGAAATTCACGGATATCGTGGCAGGGGTCGACTTGGTCTTGTTGCTCCGTTTGCCCCGAACAGTTGTAGTCTTGAGCGGAATTCCCGAAAGAATACGCGGGGCATCCTAAGCACCCATGCTCAGGAGTTGAGTAACTTGGTCGTGGATGCTCAGCGAGGGATTCTCCAGGGGTGCTGGTACCCTCCTGGGGTAGTTTGACATTTAATTCCGCTACCATGTTGATGGGGGGGGGGGATTTGGGCGTCCGGCCACCTGCACTCACCAGACGAAACACGGAAGCAGAACTTCCACTTCACGTCGGTATACTGTGAGGTTGTGGTACCACCCCGGTTTGAGCCGGCCCATACGTGCAACAGCAAAGCTGCCACGTGGCTCTCGTGGCTCAGGTTTTTGTCGCGGATACTTAATTCTCGCGATAGTAGCGCAATCGCGTTATTTTAGAACGACGCCTAATGGTAGCTACAGACCTTCAGTTTTACTCGTAACTGCACAGTTTTGACTAAACAGTCGAACTGTTCAGTTAAAACTGCCGTCCCTAGTGTCTACACATATTCAGTTATTTCAGAACTGATACTTAAAGTCCTTTTCAAGAGTGGCAACAATGCTCTATTAAAGAGTTACAAACCGCTTCCCATTTTGAGATGTGTCTAAATGCTGTTTTCGAGCCATTACGAATCATCTCGCATGCATACTATATGACTTCTGGTATCCCGAACAAGATTTTTTACAGTTTAAATACTCTTCGGCAATATGTAACATAAACCGAAGAGTACAATAGGCCACTTATCTTGTGTATATGGTCGATTGACCAATCGATGGATCAAGCTCGTTTGGCCAGTGTTCGGGGAATTGCAACATCTTAACGTCATGGATTCTTCAAAAATCGAAAATAAGAACTATGGATCTAAGACACGACTACTGGCTGTATAAGGAAGCTTAAGGTCCTTCAGCAAGCTATGGAGAGGTCTATACTCAGAGTTTCTTTGCGAGTTAGAATTTGTAATGAGGATATAGGGTAAGTGCACCAATGAATGAACACCCCCCAGTGAATGAACAAAAGTGAGTTTTTTCAATATAATAAGAAAAGTAAACATTTCTACCAAACACTGTATTTTTTTTTTCGAGTGGTCTAATTTTTTTACGTAAACTGGTCACACAAACATTTGCCAGCGACCCGTAGTTACAAAATGACGACTGCTTAAAGTGGACGTGTTGTGTTGTGTTTCGTGATTGTATGAGCGAGAATTTAGGACTCAGGTAAGACAGTGCATTTTGGTATTAGCGTTGTTCACGTTATATGAGTGACAGTGTAAAGAAAACTGCATAATAAGATAGAACAATGATTATTTTATTCATTAGAAAACAACTTGTTTATAATTTCATGTGTTTAATAAAAATAAAGGGGTGTTCGATTACTAGATCATGAAAGTGAGAAAGTTCTAGTAAATGAACGAGTGTTCATTCACTGGTTCTGGTCTGTTTTGTTACTTTTGGCTAATTTTGCATGTTTCTGTTCTCAGAATTGGTTTATTTTTTGTAGAAAGGTTTAATTATTGATTGTCTACCTTTAGGCCAGTATTCGAACACCCTAGTGTTCATTTACTAGTTTTTAAATCTAATGAATGTACTATAGTATTGTTGCTACGTTCATTTACTGGTTTTCAAAAACCAATGAATGAACTATAGTATTATTGCTACGTTCATTTACTGGTTTTTAAAATCCAATGAATGAATAAATAAACTATTAATGTTTTGTTATATTTCAAGCAGTGATATTTAGTTTTATCTCAGTAATTAGTTACAAAAAATATTCAGACGCTTCAACTTCAATTTCTCTTTTTTTAGTTCAAAAATAATGGAATCTACTAAAAAGAAATACGCAAGATTCCGTTATACTCAACAACAGTTAGAGGAGGCTCTTACCCGTATAACAAATAACGATTTGTCTATTAATAAAGCCAGCAAAATATACGACATACCCAAATCAACGTTAAGTAATAAATTAAATAATAAAGTACCATGGCAACGAAAAATGGGTCCATTAACACAACTAACTTTCGACGAAGAAAACAAGCTAGCAGACTGGATTTTAACAAAAGCTAAACTTGGGTTTCCAATGCACCCGGAAGAAGTTTATGATACTGTGGAAATATTCTTGAAACAAAATGAGAGGGAGAATAAATTTACAAAAGGCCGACCGGGGAAAAAAATGGCTTACTTTGTTTTTGCGAAGACATCCCGAAGTAACTAAAAGAAACGCTGAAATAATATCAAAAGCTAGGGCAGCGGTTACAGAAGAGGCCATCAGAAATTGGTTTACTGAATTGAACAAGTTTTTAGAGGAAGAAAATGCCTTAGACATTAAAGATGACCCGACTCGTATTTTCAATTCAGATGAAACTGGCGTCATGACTTGTCTTAAAACGGGGCTGATTTTGGGGCCCAAAAATTATAAAAATACATACGAAATCGCAAGTGGGAAAGAAAAAGAATCAATCACAGTCCTATGTACATTCTCTGCTGATGGTACTGATGTACCACCGTTTGTTTTGTATCCATATAAAAGAATGCCACCAGCCGTAATTCAAAATTTCCCAGATACTTGGTATATTGGCCGTTCCGACAGCGGGTGGATGGTATCAGTTGTATTTTTTACCTACATTAAGTTATTTTATGAATGGTTGGTAAAAAATGAAATCCGGTTGCCTGTATTGCTATTTCTGGATGGCCACAAGTCCCATATCAATCGTGACATGTTTGATTTCTGTCGTGAAAAAGGAATAATGATTTTCTGTTTATATCCCAACTCAACTCATATTTTGCAGCCCTGTGATGTAGGAATATTTGGACCGTTGAAGAAAAATTGGAAAAGGGTAGTGAGAAAGCATAAACAGGCATCCACTGTACCTATAACAAAACAAAATTTTGCTGCGTTGTTTAAAATAGCTTACGACAGAAGCATTAAGCCAACTACGATAAAAAATTCATTTAGAGTTTGTGGTTTATATCCAATGTCTCCAGATGCAGTTGACTACTCACGCTGCATAAGTAATAGAAGGCAAGAAATTGCGCAACAAAACCAAAAAGGCACCACAACCTCTAGTCTTCATGACCAAAAAGAGGATCTACGAAGTACGATCAAGGTTATAGAAGGTGAAGTTGGCCAGATGATAAGAAATGAGTTTGTCATGTCTTACAATTTAAACCGTTCTCATCCCCATCAATATTTTGAGCTGTGGAAAAAATGTAGAAATCAACTTGAGAATAAAAAACAGAGTGACACGATAACACCGAATACCCCGATCATTCCTCTTGATCTGTCAGTATCATCTATAGAAGCGTCTACTTCAAACGAGGACGATTCCAAACTGGAATCAAGCTAGGCACTGGAAAGGAATAGTGTTCCCGAAATCGTCGAGTCTGAAATTACAAATGTGGAAACTGAAGAAATGCATGCAACTAATAGTTCAATTATAATAGATTCGGCAATCCGACTGCCATCGGATAATTCCATATTATTGGGTGAGACTAGTATTTTACCCAATTTACCACCCTTTGATACAACTGAAGATGTCATAGATTTTATTATTCAGAATGAAATAGACATACCTGATGTGATACCATTGCCATGGTATGATACTTTAGAAATAATAGTAGAAAAAGACCCCATTATTGACGCTCCTAATAAATGCTCTTCTCCTCAGAATAACGCATCATCCATACCAGCCATTCCCAGTTGCAGCAATAACACTAATCAAGCAAAAAATTCGCTTGAGTCCACAGTTGATAGTCAGACTGCAATAAAGTCTGTAATAGATCCCACTAATAGTATTAATTCATCGAATGATACAAATCCATCCAATCCACTAGAAGGATTTTTGAAAATACCGGATTTACCACAAAAGAAATTTAAAGTTACAAAAAAAATGCCTGCACCTTATGGATTAACAGGGCTCAAATACAAAGAATATTTAAAAAATCAGGACGATGAGAAAAAAATTAAGGAGGAAGAATTAGCGAATAAAAGAAAGGAACGAGAAGAAAAAAGACTGAACAAACAAAAATCTCAAAGCAAAAAACGTGTTCAACTGAAACGCCCAAAAAATCCCCTTAAAAAAGCAAGCTAAGAAAATGAAAGTAGAACATGATGATCACACACAACCTGCCGAAGATTTTATAACAACAGATAATTTAGAAGCAAGTGAAGAGACTGAAATAGAAACTAGGAGAACTACTACGACTTGTACTGAATTTAAGGACAATTTATTTGATAGATATGTACTGGTTCAATTTGAGAGTGGAAAGAGAATGCGTCATTTTGTAGGAAAAGTGATAATGGTAAATGACAATGAAAGAAAATATAAAGTAGATTTTCTTAGAAAAAAATCCGTTGTGGAAAATGTTGTCAATTTTGCAAAACCAATAGTGCCAGATATTGCAGAAGTTGATTTCGATGATATTAAACGTGTATTCGGTACACCGAATATTTCTAGGCGCGGATTAATTTGTTTTGACGATTTAGTATTTAAAGATATTGAATAATAATTGTTTTAATTCTTTTGATATTTTTTATAGTGAGAAAAAATGTACTGCTGATTACGCTTATCTCACACTTTATGGTTAGTTTTTAAATTAATAATACCATTAACCGGTTTAGTTATTTTTAGAATGTGAAGAGATTAAGGTATCATATTTTTGTTACGCTTATTGTTGATTAGTTATATTGTAAGCTTAAGGTTTAATTTGATAAGTTTCATAAAAATTGTTTTTATTTGATTTAGGTACAACATGTTTTTTAATCTTTGTTAATTATATATTTTTATAACCAATGATGATTCTAGTCCGCTATTGTTTTAATTATCTAGGTAGAACATAATCAAAGTTCTTAATTAAAAGTGATACCTAAAGCCTAATTTGTAAGAGTAAAGACTGAAATAATGTATCTACTAATGTGATTACCTAGTTGGAATTAAGAGTAGTATGTCGAATAGCATGTAACGGCTGGGTAGAGGTCAAAATAATCGTACATGACTTTAAAAAATATGTGTCCTCGACCGTTTTCAGCTTATATAAAGATTAGTTCGGGTCATATCAAGTTATAACCAATTTTGTTTTAAAGGACAATTAATTTACAGGAAAACAAGCCATTTTAGTTATGTTTAGAATATAACTATACCGAAAAAAATATTAGCAAACTAAAGTCACTAATTTCACGTCCATACAAAATGAAAGTGTCCTATTGCGTAATGAAAATTTACATATTATAAAATAATCAATACTAGGCAATTTTTAGCAATATTATATACTGTTAAGTAAAAACTGGTGACTTAATTATTGTTTTCATTCATGTAATCGTTAATTTATTATGTCTATAATTATTTAATTACTGTTTATAATAAAATCCCAAATATCATTCCTGTGAATAACTCCAGGTAGATAACGGTGTTTTAAACGCTCCCGAAAAGAAATTCTACCATATCGCAATTATATATTATGCTAGCAACACTGTTACTCACATCTCGTGACTTTTGAGAACGCCATGTTGTCACTTCATTAAGTTTTGGTTGAAAGAGTGCGCGCACAGAAAAATTTGTCCAAAATATTCCTGTGAAAAACTAGTGAGTGAGATAAATTCTAAAGTGAATTACGCGGGTCTGGATACACAGTCTGAAATAGTGTGTTTTGGTGCTCATACAACACAGAGACATTGTTTTCAAGGTAAGATATTTGTTGTTATGACGATGCATTTTAGAGGTTATAATCCATATTTTTCCTTCCTGTGGATAACGTAACACGACTTAGGGCTAGTTCATACTGCTAATTGTTACTCACAGGATTTTATAGATTTGTGAGTAACACTTGGTAAAACGAATCAGTTTGTATAGTAAGTGCACCTGCAATCAATAACGAGTTGTTCACTTCAAACGAAAATCTCATTCATCTTCCGAACCGCTTGGTTTTGTTCGTATTTTTAACCGACTTCAAAAAAAGGAGGAATTTTAGAATTCATATTTTTTTATATATTTATATATGTATATGCATGAAATATACTGGCATCCACTTCTGGAATAATCTATTATTATTATTTTAATATTTCATGGATTGGACTTTTTGGACGTATTTGTGCATAAATTAAAACTAATTGACTTTACATGCTTACTTTTAGATGGCGCCAATGTCGAATGCTGAGAGACAAAGAAAATACCGTGAAAAAATAAAACAAAATGCAGAAAAATACGAGGAGAAAAAAAGAAGCATAGAGAATACATGAAAGCTGCTAGAAGACCAATTGCAGAACTGACTGAAAAAGAAAAGGAAAAAAAGCGACGAGAATGGAGACTTGCCAAAAAAAAACAAAAAGAAGGTGGTGTAACAAAACCAAAGAACAACAAGTGTTGTGCGTTAAATGCACGATTATGTGAAAAATTGAAGAAGCGAATAACAGATCAAAAGAAAGTTATAGATAATATATTGCTGAAGAAACATGCTTTACAAAAAAACCTATATAGACATAAAATTAAAATTGAAGAGCTGCGCAAATTGATCTCAAATTCAGAACGAACGGAAAACAAATATTTAATAAACTCATCAGAAAGTAAAACCAACAGTGAATTTGTACCTACAGACATTAATGCACCAACTACCTCATCCGGACTGACCACAACTGACAAATCTGAAAATGAAGATTTACGTGAAAAAACTCCCATGTCTAAAACATTATCCTTTATAAATGAAAATATTCCATCCATATCCACTCCTGAAAAAAATAAAGTTAAAAAACAGATCCTGCAGCTGAATGTGATCAGTGCTTCGTTACAGACAGCATATGAAAAACATGACAATAAATCAAAACAGATCCTAAAAGACATTGTTTCATCCGAAGCAATAGAAAAATATAATCTGAAAACTGATATTTCGAAATCATTGGGACTGAAAGGGAGAGTAAGAAAATTTCAGAAAAAGGAAAGGACATACAAAGAAGCTAAAGAAATACGTATTTTTTTCAACAGGGATGATAACACTAGAATGACAGCTGGCAAGAAAGAATGTGTTGGTAGAGGTAATGATAAATTACAGAAGCGATTCTTGCTTACTTCATTGAAGAAACTTTACACAAAATATGTAAGCGAGGGAGGAAAAGCTTCATTTTCAACTTTTAGACGAAATAGGCCAAGAAATGTGTTACGGCCAAAGTTGAGTGATAGAAACACCGTTGCATGTATAAAACACAGTAATTTAGCCTTCAAAGTTGCTCATTTAAAGAAAATTGGCGTTATAGGTACTTCCGATTTGCAAGAATTACTTGCATCGAGTGTGTGCAGCGTTGAATCGTACGACTGTATGTATTTAAATTGTGAAAAGTGTAAAGACACCAATCCTGAAATGAATTTGACAGATATTACAAACAATACAGAATGCACATGGATACAGTGGATTAGAAAGGAATTTACGTTTGAGAAGGGAATAGAAAGAAAAATTACTACTACAAAGAAATATGCTAAAGAAAGTATTAAGGGTACATTTTCAGAACTCAAAGAAATGTTTTTAGCTGATCTACGTGCATTCCGGCAGCATTTCTTTAATATAAATCATCAGCACAAAAAATATCGAGAAGTTATTGATAACCTACTACCCAATGAAGCAGCTCTAATAATAGATTTCTCAGAAAATTATTCCTGTAAATTAGGAGAAGAGATACAGGCTCTTCATTTCGGAGCATCAAAGGGCCAAATTACGATCCACACTGGCATAGCATATCTACAACAAAAAAAGGTTCCTTTTGCTTCGCTGTCCGACTGTAACTTACATGACCCTGGAGCCATCAGAGCCCACATAGAACCTATAATTGAATTATTATTAACAAGCAATCCCGACATAGATACCATACATTTTTTCTCAGACGGTCCAAGTACGCAATATAAACAAAAAAAAAATTTTTACCAGTTTACAGAGTTATGCAAAAAGTATAAATTTACTTTTGGAACCTGGACGTTTTTCGAAGCTGCGCACGGCAAGGGTGCTGCCGATGGAGTAGGGGGTGCTGTAAAAAGACTGCTGGATCAAAAAGTGGCATGTGGAAATGATGTTAGCTGTGCCGACGATGCTGTGTCTATTTTAACTGAAGAATCATCTGTTACAATATTTTCAGTCTCTGAAATTAATATTCGGGATGCACAGAACCAGATACCGAATGACTTGGATCCAGTACCACTTACTACACGATTACATCAAATTACTTACCATGTTCCATCAACAACACTAAGGTACCGCAATGTCAGTTGTTTCTGTAAGTCATCTTTGCCAAGAGGGATTTGCGAATGCTACAACGCGAAAACTCACGTCCTGAAAAAAACTATAGTCCACAAGATAAATTGTTCAACCAATGTTAGTAAAAGGATGCGCAACAATGAGGAAGCGGGGCAATTGAATGAATGCGGAGCAGTGCTGCCAGAAATTCCCGTGGTTTCACATCGAATATCAACCAATGACATTGACGTTATACATGACGAAGGTGGAATTTTTCAATCGAAAACAAAAGCAAGTAGTTGCATCATTCGGGAAACTGCTGGAACAAAAATTGTATTGATGGCAAAAAATCAGAATTCACTTAATATTAACACTAACGTCTTGACGAATGTAAAACAAAAACCCAAGATTATATCGCAAGTTATAATTCCGCCCTCAAAATGTACCCCAAAAATTGTTACCAATAATGAAAATAAAGAAAACTTATCATCACTTAACACTAAAAACTATGACCGGCTTAAACGAAAAACGAGAAAAGAGATTAAAAGAAAAGATAAGAAGTTAAAAAGAAAAAAAGAAGAAGATGAATCAAGCAATAGTGACATCGCTATGAGTGTCCACAGTGATTCAGACATTTGCGACGTTGCTTCTGAATCAGATAGCCTGGATATGCAAGATACAGATTTTAATATTAATAAATCAAAATCTAAAGGCTGCAAAAAAAATGTAAAAGTTAAAATTGAAAAGACTAAAACTTGCCTTATCCCAGATACTATGTTGCATCAGCCCTCTTCAAGTTCCAACTTAGAAATTGTTCCCATTGATATAAAAAAATACGATTATGTATTGGTAAGACACTTTTTAAAAAAAAGAGTGGAATATTTTGTAGGCACAGTTTTGGAAAAACCTTTCAATGACAAGGTAAAAATATCTTTTTTAAGAAAAGTTGGCAAACATGACAATACAAAATTTATTAAGACAAAGTCAATGGAAGTGGAGCTAATAGATTGTAAGAATATTGTAAAGACTGTAGAATTAATGTCGATCAATGAAAATGAGACTGATTTTGTATTTCTTGACGACGATGATTATATATATTTTGATTAAAGAATTACATAATTATCACTCAAGTTACCAGTTGTAATAAATATATTAAAGTTCCTTTTTTAAGTAATAAAGTTCCTTTTTTTTGTTTTGTTATTTTCACCGCCAAAGTAATTGTTTTGTGTAGGTTGTAGTTTTTAAAGCATGTTTTCGGTGGTGAACTTGTTAAAAATACATTTATTGATGTTAGCAGTTGTGTCAGTCTAACAATAAATAAAAATATGTACCTATTTGTTGTTTCAATGTGAAAGCATCCTATTATTCCTGTGAGTAACATTTTCTTATCAGGTGAGTAACGTTACTACCCGGACTTCATGTGAGTTGCGGTCGATTATTTTGACTTCTACCCGGCTACGTTGATTATTCTGTGATTTTAATGTGCCTACAATTTAAATAAAAGTTATGTTTTCGTTTTATTCTCTTTTTATTTTTTTTATATTTCCCACTGTGTTTTTATAAATATGCCTACACCATCGCTTTCAAATTCATAGTTATATTATTCAAAGAAGTATATAAATTATAAAACCTCATTTACATTTAATAAATAATCAGAAACTTGTGATTTCTAGCTTAATTAGTATCAACAGAAAACGTTCATTCATTGGAGTTTAAAATGTTCATGCACTGGATTTTGGTGTTCATTTACTGGTGATTTTGGGTGCTTTGGCATAAAATGTCGATTATCTTAGTAATTATGTCCTTTAACGGCAGATTGCCCATATAATATTAAACTTGAATAAATTTTGAATGTAATAGAGTGGCATTATTAAAGCACAGCCACCCATATATAGATGCTTATAATTTTCAAAGTTTGAAATTGCCTTAAGGGTTCATTCATTGGTGCACTTACCCTAGACAGTATACCAGACTAACCGACACAGTCCAATAAAAAGCTGAAGTGGTAAATGGTCAGCCATATATCTCAAAAACAGACAACTCATGAGATTTAAAGGTTGTTGAGTGACAGCCCCATACCAGTAAGCAAAGTGTAGGACGACACCATACTAGATGAAGTGACGACCTAGTAAGACATACAGGAAGTCAATATATTGCAAGTGGCTCAAAACCATGTTTTGTGGTGTTTCTTTAGAGACATTTATATAGGCCATGTTTAATATTGGATGTGTGAAAGATAGTAATTGTGATGATAATGAGACTACAAAGTTTTATAATTTAAAAATTATAATACCAAAGACAATTACATAATCAATAACATAACAGCAAATTTTTTATCCTAGTGGTTTAAGGTCTTTTAAGTATGCACTATAGTTTTCAAATATATCAACAACATCACTCTTTTGAGTCATTTTTTCATCATATTCTGGACCCACAGCCCAAAGGGTTTCTAAGTCATAAACTTCTCGAACTTTATCAGAAAATATATGAAGAGCAATATTACCTGAAAAGATGAAAACATTATTTTCAATATGTAAGATTTGTTCTTATATTTTGCTGACAACGGCTGAGATGTTTTCATTAATTTATTACAATTTATCAAAAATTCACTTCTGAACACAGGTTCCTCCCAAAGATTGCCTAACAGGAGAGATATTTGACACAGTTACCAGGCCTAGCATGGTGTTGGCAACAGCAATTTCATTATTTTCATTTAGCATCAGGAAGATGCTGCTGTGCATCACCTATTTCATTTTCATCTTTCTCCTCTTATGACACCCAAGACATAAGATGGGAGCATGGTAACAGATTGTCTTATGATGCTACTATACGGAATTTAAAAAAAATATGGTTAAATTGTTACAATTGTAGCAAGCAATTTTTTTAAATACTTATTTATAACAATACATATATATTTTTGTTTAACTTGATTGTTGCAGCTGAACTTAATATGCCAAAAATATTGTACAGTTATAACATATATTGATTTGACTATATATATATATTGAGTGACTTCTGTTAATTGTTAGCAATACATATTTTAAAAAACATAAGTGAAAAAAAATAATAAGTTATAAAAATATACTGCTACAATACCTAAATCTAATGCCATCCATTCATCGGAATCTTTTCCTTCTATCCTAGGTAATTGATCACTTTTGTAACATTTTTTTTTGTAAACCTTACGCACAAATTCTGCTAAAGCTTTTATGTGTCTTTTACTGCGACCACTAACTACACATATGTATTCTACAAAATTAATGTCCTTTGGCACAGTTGCTACAAAAATATTTTTTGAGTTTTCTCTTTGCAGTAAATCTACAAGGTCTTCAATATCAAATACCCCATGCTTTCCTCCTGAAACAAATTAGTATTATATTAATAAATCATATTAAGAAAACTTTCAATTTTTTAAAATTTTAGATTAAAAAATTATATTTCATGATTTGCAGTTTTTTGGCATTGTAAATATCCTAAGTAGAACCAGAGTAATCTACAAATCTAACTCATCAGTATACTAAAGTGGCAATGGGCTGGCAATATAGCTCAAAAAATCAAAAACTTATGTGGAAAAAAGGTTCTCGAGTAGCAGCCTTGTTCCAGTAAGCAATCTGTAGAGTGACCCCCAGATAGATGAAGTAAGAGGTATAACAAAAAATATATAAGTATGGATAAGTTATTAGAAAATTATAATGTTTACTAAATTTACACACATAGTGCACAGTAATTCTGTCCGTTTTATAAAATATCATCCAAAAAATGGCATGGCAATGTCAAAAGGGTGAGCACAGTACAAGCCATGTTCAATTTCAGATGTTATTCACCATTACTGGCATGAGTATTATTAATCTAACATGATGATCAATTAGAGGCAATTATATCTACTATTGCTTTTATTCATCATTTACATTGCATGCAACGTTGAAGCATTGCAGTCTGAAGTAAACCTGCTTAAAAATACGTCAGGCAATCTTACAACTCAGCCTGCAGACACTTCTTACGAGTCTATCATATCTGAAATTACTGAACGAAACTCTAGACGTAAGAACATAATCATAGATGGACTACCGGAACCCGTATCGAAAAATAAAGAGGAAAGGAAAGACATCGACACAAAACAAGTAACTAAAATAGTAAAGACGATAGATGAGAGTTTCCAGCCTAAAGTGGTATACCGTCTTGACAGATATAGTCCTGGCAAAGATCGTCCCATAAAAGTATGTTTTTCGTCTTCAGAGACAGCTTTAACTATGTTACGCAGTAGAAAAAATGAGAATTTAGGCAATCTCAAAATATACGCAGATCACACCCCTCTACAGCAAAAATATTATAAAGACCTTAAAGAAGAAGTAAAGCGCCAATCGATAAATAATAACAATAAAAACTTTATTATAAAATATGTAAGAGGTGTGCCGAAGATCGTAGAAACCTCCTCAAAAAACTAAAATCACATGACACCACTCACCTCCAAACACTTTCGTGCAACATAAACCCAACTACCTATGAAATTGTTAATAGTTACAAAGATATTTCTTCCACCAAAAAGTCTCTACGATTTCTATATGCTAACGTAAGAAGTATAGTGAAACCAGGAAAATTGGATGAACTAAAATGCGTAGTTGAGTCGTTTCAGAATAGGATTCATATAATCATCCTATCAGAGACATGGATAAAGTCAGACGAGGAAGCTATTAGTCTTCAGATTCCCGGCTATATTCACCATTTTAATTACAGGCGTAACATGAGAGGTGGTGGAGTATCTATATTCATTTGCAATAGCCTAAAACACCACGTAACAGAAAATCAGTCCCAGGGTGAAAATCACTACCTATGGATCCATCTTGACCACTATTGTCTTGATATAGGTGCTGTATATCGGAAACCAGACGCCTCAAATTTAAAAAGTTTCTTGGAATTTTATTCCAAGCAATTACATGAAAGAAGCAGAGCCCTTGTATTTGGAGACTTTAACATTGATTTACTGAGTCAACAACAGGCAATCAATAACTACAAGGAAGTGCTAGAAGAGAATGGTCACAATATAATAAATAAAATAGACAAAAAATACTGTACCCGTGAAACAGTTTCAACAAAATCAATAATAGACCATGTTTGCTCAAATCTCAAACGACACAGATTTAATTTCATCATAATCGAAACCCCTATGTCTGACCACAAGCAAATATACTTTGAAATACAGAAATCCCGGCCTGAACCACTGCGAAAAGTTAGATATGAAGCTATTAACTACGAACAACTATGTAAAACTATGGTAAACTGTACAGATATTGGTAATAAATCATATGAAATATTTAAAGAGAAGCTGGATTCTTGCCTCAGCAATAGTAGATTCCCAAAAGTAAAAATTCTTAACCCACCTCGCCAAGACTGGATCAATAGGAAAATTTTAGATAGAATAAATAGTCGAAATATAATATGGAACAAATTTAAGAAGAATCCAGAGGACAAATTATTAGAAGAAGCATTCATCAAAGAAAGAAACGAAGTATCAAGAACCATTCATAAAACTAAAACTAAATATTATTTAAAAGCATTCAATGACTGCAAGAGCAACCCTAAAAAAGATGTGGAAACTAATAAAAGACCTTTCTAACAACAAAGTAAGAGACCCATCACTACCGAGTAAACTTTTAACAGCGAATGGTTACATAACGGATCAAAATGGTATATGTGAACAATTTAATGACTTTTTTACTAATGTAGGCTTGATCTTAAATAGTCAAATACTAACAAATCCCCATAATAATTTAACCTATACAAATAAAGCAAACACTGCCAAGTCAATCGCGCTAACACAGTTACAGCCATGTACAATGGAAGAAATTGCTAATTTTATAGATAGCTTAAGCACAAATACTAGCTCCGGATTAGACGGGGTAAATAGCAAATCAATAAAATGTTTGAAACACATCATCCTTCCTGAACTTACTAATTGCATAAATAAAAATCTAGAAAACGGTACTTTCCCTGATAGTTTAAAGATCGCTAAAGTTACACCTATATTTAAATCTGGTACTAAATTGGAACCTGGCAATTACCGCCCAATATCTGTTCTTCCTGTAATGTCTAAAATCTATGAAAAACTTTTATATAAACGTCTTGAAACTTATCTCTCTGCACAAAACTTCTTTTACAAGCAGCAGTATGGTTTCAGACCGAAATCTAACACACTGTCAGCTACAGTAGACCTCATAACTAAAGTGAAACTTAGTATTGATAAAAAACAAATAGCACTAGGAGTCTTCATAGATTTAAAGAAGGCTTTTGATACAATTAGTCACGACCTACTATTAAAAAAACTATTTGATATTGGCATTGCAGGAACCGCTCATGAGATACTCAGATCTTACCTCACAAATCGTCGGCAAGTGGTTAAGATCGGTGAAACACAGAGTGGGCCCAGAGTTGTAACCTGTGGTATACCTCAGGGATCGATTCTGGGGCCTCTTTTGTTTCTTATATATATAAATAATGTAAAAGAACTCGGGCTTAATGGAGACATAACGTTATACGCCGATGATACCACTCTATTCTACTTTGGCCATTCTATAGACTCTGTTATTAAAGACGCACAAAATGACTTAGATGTTCTAAACACTTGGTTTCAACGCAATCGGCTTACTATAAATATATCAAAAACAAACTATATAATATTTACAGCAAAAAACAAAAAAATATCACACTACACGCCATTGACAATAAATAACCAAATTATAAATAAAGTTAATGAAGAGAAATATCTTGGACTGATATTAGACTCGCACTTAACATGGATACCACATATTTCTAAAATTAAAACAAAATTAACTTCTCTTTCTGGTGCCATACGGGGGATGGCTGTATGTTTACCGCACCGAGTTCGATATAATATATACAACTCTCTTATAAAACCGCATTTAGAATACTTGACTGAAGTTTGGGGCACCGCTGCGAAAACAAATCTAGAACCACTACAAAGGTCACAAAATAAACTTATTAAAATATTATTTAAATATGATTTCCTTACACCAACAAATCTACTGTATAAACAAACAAAATTATTAAATATTACTCAAACATATATATATAAAACTTGTATATTAATAAGAAAAATATTAAATAAAGATATATATACTCAAATAACATTCAAAAAGAAACAACAAATACATAAAATTGGACTAAGGCGTGCAAACGACCTTTGCCTCCTAACCCCAAGAACTAATTATGGTAAAAAAAACTTAATGTACGAAGGTGCGAAATTGTATAACCAATTACCGAAAAATATCAAAGAAGCAAAATCAATCCCAACATTTAGAAAGCACTTAAAATATTATTTAACTTCTAACCTGAGCGTACATTGATTTCACTATTTTACGCGTCGCTTCTAGCTACACTCGGTCTGTGTAAGGTGCGCGTCCAAGCATTGTTTGCGCCTTTGGCTATGTAAGACTTTAAAAGTACCCTATTTTTTTTTTTTTTAGTATTTTGTTGCTCTAGGAATAAAAATTGCTAAAACATGTATAATTACAACTGAATGTGCTTGAGTGAAATTGATTCGATATATTAGTGTACGCCTAGGATAAGACTATTATTTTTGTTTGTATGTGTTTTAAAACTTTCTCATATAAGTGAATTATTATTATAAATTCTTATGAGAAATAAAGATATCTCAAACCTCATTGTCCCTAGGATAAAATGGAGTGATAGACCCCCACAAAACTATAAACATACATTATCAAGCCCAAATTACAAAGACTTGATCATTCTTTTGCCTCATTCCCTACATTTAATACTTGTATCAGTATCAGCTTATCACAAACTTTTAAAAAAATATCCCTAATTTGGCAGAAATTTTTAATGAAGTGTGGATACATTTTGTATAATAAATTGTCTTTACAGCAGTTTGCAGATGGAAAAAAAAATTGTTTGAATCTTTTGAAATTTATTAGATGTCAGGACTATGCAAATTTGTGTATCATATTTGCCACAATATACCTTCAACAAAATTTGTTACATCTAAATGTAAAAATTACTTATAACGTAATATAGACCTATAAAATAATTTTTATCTTATATTTTTTAAAATCAACAGTTATAATTTTTAAAATAACTAAACTTTAATGTAACAAATTTATAATTCTAATATGATTAGCCAGGAAACAATACCATGATAGGCAATAAAGACAAAATATTGCATTTTGTGCAAAACAAGTGATCAAATTAAAAATGTTTATACAACTAATAAAATGAGATCATCATCAATGTAATCGGAGTCAACTAAATAGGCATTATTAAAGATAACTCAAAAACTACCACTACTACTGTGTGTGTGTTTATACTTTAACGCCAAGACGTCTCTTAAAAGTATAGTAACCCAATTCTTTTAGCCAATCAAGGAAAACGATTTTTAATTTAAAGTTACTTAGCTTCAGTATAACTTTTGTATTGTTGAATGTATTATATAGCTGAGGCGCAAAATATTCATAATGCTTTCTTGCTATCGAGCATTTCCTGTTAAGAGCAGGGTATTCTGCAGTTCTTTTGTTTGTGTGTGGTACAGATAAACAATGATAGTCTGATGCATTGATACATGAAAGTTTTCCGAACAGACAAAACACTTGTTTTTTTATATAGCAAGTTGATCTGGCATGTTGTTTGGTTGGTCTGTCAATCAAGTTGGTTGGTATAGGAAAGACAATCGATCATAATGTATCCAGTTGTTGGCTCATCGCTGGTAACACATTGTGAAGCAACTTGAAATGTTTCCCAGTGAGAATTGTGGAATAATCGCCTGATTTGTTAAATATAATACTGTAAATGGATGATAAATCATAGATCTTTGATAGTTTTAGTCCATTACTATCACATTTTTTTAGATACAGATTATCACAGAAAAGGGACTAAATGTAGACAAAAACTTCTTTTTTTATTTATATGCAGCTTTATATCCTCATAACGTGACATTAATATATAGACTTTATTTTTTATTATATTATAGTTATATTTGCACTAAATCATCATAAAATACTTACTCTCTAAATTTATTCCGTCGAATTCATCGCTCAAGATGGGATATTTTTCTTCTATAACTTCATACTTCATTTCGTCAGCAGTATGTTCAATTATAGGAGAATTTTTTTCAGTTATCACTTCATATTTACCAGATATGGCAGGAGAGGTCCAAGATTTGTCTTTTGATATATTTCTTGGACTTTCAACAAAGGATCCCCGGTGAACCAGTCGAGGATAACATCCCCTAGGATTAAAAGCGCAGCATTTTATTAAACCTGTAGATTTTTTAATATTACCGATATTTGCTATTACATTTTTGAACATTTTGAAAAATGATTAACTTTTGAAGTGTTTTAATAATAAACGATACACATATTATATAAAAATTGGTCTGAAGACTAATTTCTTATTTTCAGTTCATGTTTTTACTTTTTACAACAAAATGACAATAATTGACAACTGATGACAACGGGTGCGTTCGGCAGAAAAAAGCGCTAGCAAGCGCTTGTAAGCAAAATGGCGATCATAAGCGGTAAGCGCTGTCAAATCGTAAGTAGCTATTTTCCTCCAGGACACGATGTTAGTTTTAACCGCGGAACCTAACCTAATTTAAATATATATTTGTAAAGTATTCATATTAAAAAACTTACCAATCATGAATTTTTAATAACATGTATATGTCTATTCATGTCATTATATTACTTAAACTTTATTGACAAAACAACTTAAACTACTTCGAAACAAACAAATTAAATAAGCAAAATGGCGGATTGTGTAAGCGCTACTGAAGTAGCAATCGTGTCCTGTCCGAAAACTATTTTAGCGCTTGCTAGCGCTTTTTTCTGCCAAACGCACCCAATGGTCTTGCTTGTCTACGCGAATTGCCATTTAAGGCAGACAAAGATCTTAGACCATACAGCATAGTCTCATGACGTTTACGAAACTAATTTCTTTACAATATGTTGATGTGTTTCATTGTGTTCATCAAGAATGTTCCAAATAGCTTGAGCCAGCAGACAGTCAAATGACTTCTTCTTTTTCTTAAAATCCACTTCAAACAATTATTTAAATAATAATACCGGTGCAGCTTTCTTCTAGTTTTTGGGTTCTTTAGAATCAGTTGTATTTTTTAACGTACTAAATTTTGTACTAAAAGGTTTATTATATTATATTATATTAAAGGTTTATTATTATGCACCAAAAGTAAAAAGGACGCAATACAAAACACTATCGAAATCTGATTTAGCGCCGATGTCAGTTTGAAAAGCAGAAACAGTCCATTAAACGAAAGCCGCGTAATCAAATAAAAACAGATCGAAAACACTTGAAGAACGTGATCTACGTGCACGAAACGACAACAGACGACTGCGACGACTGTTTTAGCGTCACAAAATGGCGGCCCATAACGCCAATTGGGGTTACCATTTTCAACCTAAATATATAAATGCTACTTTCTTTCGCACGTTCGGTTTGATCGTAGTTTTATTTTTATATTTAATAAAAGTTATCTTATAGTCCATTATTATCAAATTCTTAAAAAGAAAAACAAAACGTATTATTTTATAAAGTATAACTGTATAAGATACTGTTATTGCCTGTTATTGTTAGCACAGCACTACAAATATAAAGCGCTGACATAACCTTGTAATAGGGCAGTATAGATTTAGAAAAATATTGTTTACCAAGTTATTTGACACTCAGTTTGGCACAAAATTATAACATTGAATGATTATTGATATAATAATGTTGTTTTAATGTATTACTCATCAATTGTTAAAACGGTAAACAACCAGCAAAAATATTTTTATCGTAACTGCAACGCCATAACAAAGTTACGTCGTCAGTTCAATCGCGACGTGTCAGGAACGCATTTTCTGAACGGCCGAACTATAGGCCCTTTGATACTTACATCTATGATTGGGCCGGCTTAGTCAGATTTGTGGTCAAGCCAGAGAGTATAGTAGGTTGGGCCAATGACAATATTTTATTTAATTAATATAACTTAGAGTACCATAGATTACCATGTTCTTATCCAAAAATAAAAAATATCAACTATTATAATATATATATTTATTTGTATGAAGGTTAAGTAAGCGTTAGAGAAACGACTATTGCAAGAAGTTGACGATAAATTGTTTTTTTTTTTGAGAAATTATCAATTACCGTGTAGTGGCGGTGTATGAATATCCATAGTCCTTAGAGGAAAAATGTTATTTTTAAATGACCGTGATCGTCGTTCTAGTTACAAAAAGTCACAGTGATCAATCATCGTGACTTTATCACATTGGATAACTACTCTGAACTTTAGAACGACTTATAACGTGACTTTATATATGCATTTTAGATTTAGTATTAGGTTTTATTTTAGTAGTGGATTTTTTATTACTTTATTTAGTGGATTTTTTATTATTTTTGAAATATAAGAATTTCAGCTAACCTAGCCGATCAGTTGGTTTATCGTTTCAGTACACGTTACACGTACTTTATTACACAGTAACAAAGTATGTGTAAGTTAGATGAATAAATAATATTATTTTTAGAAAATTATATTGATGACCATCGCCCATGTCGGTAAAACCTTACAGTAGGAACGGGACATATGCAAGGATATTGATACAAAACTAAACATAAATAAAAATATTTCTCTTTCTACTGACTAATTTAGGTACCATAAAATAAATATTTAAATTGTTAATAGAATATCTTCCTACAAATATTTGTGTGCATTTTATTTTATTCCTTTGAAAATGAGTCAAATTTCAGCGACTGAATTGATCTTCAGATGCAACGCTCACTTCATGTTTAGGTATATTATCATCGAGTTCTAATAAAGCCAAGAGGGGGAGTTAAGAGACCCATTGCACAGGGTAAACTAGTTTGGGCTTCTGTCTTCAACTACAACTAAAACCATTTAAACTATTTATGAACGAAATGTAACTGTGTAAAATGTGGGATAAATAAATGTTTATTATTATTATCGCCTCCATAATTTTTACAAAAACTTACATACTCTAATAACTTAAGTACAATAAATGCATAGGCATCAATCTCGGTGCATCACTATTCAACCGCTCTAATTATGTATCAGTACTATAAAACATCTTGTTACGCTTGACATAATAGGCAATGAGCAAGCAATACGCGCGTTCTATACCATGCTTATTTATACTCTAAGTTCTGAGCACTCTTATCTATGGTCCCTGAGGGGTTACTTCTAAATACTATTATACTCTTTGGTTGGGTCTACAAATTTGGAAAAAAGATGCTTTACTGGACAGATTAAATCCATAATAAAAACAGAATAGTTGGCTATCTTCTAAGAAATGTACCGAATATGGAGTGTAGAAGTAAAGAGTACCAACTCCCATAGGAAAATAGTTGAAAAAGTGTCCATCTGTAAGCAGTAAATAGCAGTTCAAAAACTCTCCACTACAGCGCTCGAGTAGCTACGGGGTATGTTAAATCGGCGTAAAATACGTTGAGAGTGATTTTGAGAATAAAAATTTTCAAAGCAATAAAATAATTATTGTAAAAAGAATAATGGTGAAAGTCTGTGCAATAAAAAAATTATAAAAAGTTCTTTAAAATTTAGACTGTAGCTACAGTGGCGCCACCCTTATTTAACGCTTTCTTACGGATACTTTTTTATACAGAGTCTGTACTCTATACTTTTACACTCCGTAGTACCGAACGCAATTAATATGTGTGCGTACCTGGCACGTGACAGTACGGACCATAGGTACGGACTCGTACGCACGAGCCAAAGCACACACTCAAAAACACTTGCTGAGTCGGGAAGATCGGGCTGAATCGAGAGCGCCTACTGCCGCGCTCCGCAATCACTTTTGTTTGAGACATTTAATAAAATTTTGCTAGCAGTCTTTTTCGTTTCGCGTTTGTTTAAGTAAATTAGCTTTTTATTAATAGGTTATATTACTATATCTATACATAGATACATACCTCATAAGCACATTATCATATGACATCAGAACAAATAGATTTTTAACATTAGACCTGAGCTGACACCAAATGCTCAGTTTATTTGTTAAAATGTGAATTTTTTGACAAACATTAATTTTTGAGAGGAAACTAAAGAAATGATTAAAAATATAATCCATAGATATGTATCCGTATGCATTTTGTTTGTAAATATTATAACTCCATACTTATAAAAATAAATGAGCTGTTAAACAAAAAGACAGTGACAACCATTGACTTATACAGGGTTACAAGAAAAATCGTGCTAGATCTGTTAAGGGCATGGAGTACCCATCATTTCTGACTCATTTCACTATGAAACACCCTACCCTAAACTTAACCCTTTTCGAGATATTCGACTTTTAATTTTAGGCTACTACATTTATTTTTGTTTATTTTGTGTATCTTATTATTATTATTATTGCATTTTTACGTGTATAATAAGGTGCTTTAGGACGTCAATCATTAAAATAGAGCATAAGTTAATTGAATAGACCGTAGTAGACAAGTGAAAGTAAAGAAATAAAAAAAATATTAGAAAGTTTATTTTTCTCTAAGGAATATTTAAAATAAATATTAAAGCAATTAATCGGCAGATGTTTTTTAAATCATAAGCGACAGTGGAGAAGAAAATTTATACTTAGCCCAAAAAAGCAAAATAAAACAATAGTTAAGCATGAAATGTCATTTATTAAAGGTTTTCACATAACTTTTTCTTATTCTACAGTTCATGTTCAACATGGCCGCCTCTATTTCTGATACATTGTCGCATCCTTCTACGGAGACCAGTCTTCACTAGTCCAGTGGTCAACGTGGTCCTCATTTTATTTGCTGCATCCACAATCCTTTCTCTTAAGTCTTCCACAGACGAAACTGGATTCGGCTCACTGTACACAAGACTTTTCATGCACACCCACACATGAAAATCCATGGGGGTTAGGTCCGGACTTCTTGCTGGCCATGGCAACGGCCCACCTCGTCCTATCCATTTGTTTGGATAATTTGTGTCCAGCCAGTCCCTGACACTTCTCCTGAAATGGGCAGGGCAGCCATCGTGTTGGAACCACATGTCCCTGATCAGGTTGAGTGGCAGATCACCCAGCAAATCACTCAAGTCTGCTCTCAGGAAATTTTAGTAGCTTTCCCCATTTAGATTATCCGGGAGAAAGTATGGTCCAATCAAATGATTGGAGATAATGCCCATCCACACATTCACGCTGAATCTTCGTTGGGACCCCTTTACTATTTTCTTATTGGGATTCCTTAGTTCTTTTGGGGCCCAGTAATGGGCGTTGTGATAGTTAGTTATGCCACCTTTATCAAATTTGGACTCATCCGTCCACAAGATATTTCTTAGAAAATCTGGGTCTTCTACATTTGGATAAATCTGCAAAAGTCCAATCTTCTTGCGGGGTCTCCTTCTTCAATAACGTGTACCGGCGAGTAATGGTATGGGTATAGGCCAGCAGTATGCACTGTACTTTATTACGCTGGTAATATATATTACTAGCGCCGACCGAACAACTAAAACGAAGCAGTGCGCTGGCCCTAAAATTACAGTTTAGGGCTAACGCAAATCGGTAGACAGTGGTGCGCGCGCAGGACAGATTTGCCTGTCATAAATATGTCTAGTTGCGTGGTAAAAGAATGCAAAAATTACGATACAAAGATTTAAAAAAACATGGGATATCGTATCATCGGTAAATAACCTTATAATAATTTTATCACAATTAAATTATTATATAAACGCATTTTTAAAGTTTTATTTTACAGTTAGTTTAGTTACGTTACCAAGATTAGGCCAGGGGTAGATTCAGACCCTATATTGAATATTCAGAATATTGTGCATGGAAAATAAAATTATATCTACTAATTAAAAAAAATATATATCACGTTTGACGTTTTATGTAGCTTTATTCCCATGTGGCGGGATTTTGGCGTTACGCGTCGTTTTTTTGACGGTTTTATTTTTATTTCTGTTTAATTTTTATCTAAAGTAAAATATTCGATAAGGGTAAAACAAAAAGAGTACAAAAGAAATCATATCTGCGTAATTGAATCTGAAAATCGGATTCATAAAATGTTTTGAAATTCTGTTTTCAAACCGATTGCTTCTGGAGCATAGAGTTTTTATCGTGGTAGCCCCTCATTAAAGTTGTATCAAGGATGCAACATAATTGCATCGATCTAGTATTGATTGGCATTGGTATCCTACTATTCTGTTTTTACTATGTTAAATCTAAATTCTAAACTAGGTCCATTATGGTTACACGTGAACACTAAAATTTTAAAGCGATCTGAAGCTACAGCTGCTGTAGTAAAGTAACATTTATTCCGCTTCTCCAATTACATTTCTATAAGAATAAATTGTGCGTTTTAAGTACGCTATAAATAATGTAAAAAAAAACAAACAACTATCTTTTCCTTAAAATTATATAGCTACCTTTAACCTTAATATATGTATTCCAAATCGGTAATCATCATTATAGCCCATCACAGGACTACTGTTAAACATAGGTCTCTCCCATGGTGTGACATATAATTATAGATATTTTAGTTATCTGTATCATTATCATCATCATCATCATAATTACAGCCCTTCACAAGTCCACTGCTAAACATAGGTTTCTCCCATGGTGTGACACAAAATTATAGATATTTTAGTTATCTGTATCATTATCATCCTCATCATAATTACAGCCCTTAACAAGTCCACTGCTAAACATAGGTTTCTCCCAAGGTGTGACACAAAATTATAGATATTTTAGTTATCTGTATCATTATCATCATCATCATCATAGAGCCCTTAACAAGTCCACTGCTAAACATAGGTTTCTCCCATGGTGTGACACAAAATTATAGATATTTTAGTTATCTGTATCATTATCATCATCATCATCATAGAGCCCTTAACAAGTCCACTGCTTAACATAGGTTTCTCCCATAGTGTGACACAAAATTATAGATATTTTAGTTATCTGTATCATTATCATCCTCATCATAATTACAGCCCTTAACAAGTCCACTGCTAAACATAGGTTTCTCCCAAGGTGTGACACAAAATTATAGATATTTTAGTTATCTGTATCATTATCATCATCATCATCATAGAGCCCTTAACAAGTCCACTGCTAAACATAGGTTTCTCCCAAGGTGTGACACAAAATTATAGATATTTTAGTTATCTGTATCATTATCATCATCATCATCATAGAGCCCTTAACAAGTCCACTGCTTAACATAGGTTTCTCCCATAGTGTGACACAAAATTATAGATATTTTAGTTATCTGTATCATTATCATCCTCATCATAATTACAGCCCTTAACAAGTCCACTGCTAAACATAGGTTTCTCCCAAGGTGTGACACAAAATTATAGATATTTTAGTTATCTGTATCATTATCATCATCATCATCATAGAGCCCTTAACAAGTCCACTGCTAAACATAGGTTTCTCCCAAGGTGTGACACAAAATTATAGATATTTTAGTTATCTGTATCATTATCATCATCATCATCATAGAGCCCTTAACAAGTCCACTGCTTAACATAGGTTTCTCCCATAGTGTGACACAAAATTATAGATATTTTAGTTATCTGTATCATTATCATCATCATCATCATAATTAGAGCCCTTAACAAGTCTACTGCTAAACATAGGCCTCCCTCAAGAAATGCCACAAAGTTATCTCTATAGCAACGTGTTTTCGACTATTCGCTATCGTATCGTATGTCCAGCTCTATAGCCTCTTCGCTATATTTGTGTTCCCAAATAGGAAACCGGAAGCTTTAGAAATATCTCCAGCACAGATCAAAAGTGATGACTTAAACTGAAATTATAATTGGCTTTTTATAGGCATAATAAGTAGAGATGGGCCGAATATGGATTTCACCGAATACGAATATTCGGCCGAAAGTTCGGTAAAACTTTTACCGAATCGAATAATATTCGGCCGAACATTTTCAGCAGGATCACCTCGGTACCGGTAACCAATTTATTTCGAAACCTGTTACCATAAAGCGCGCGAGATTAGCGCCGAATTCTGCCCCTGGCTCCCTCGCCACACCTGACATGTTATTACAATTACATCATCTAGTACTGAGCAAATTGGCGGCACATGCTTATGTTTTGACTATTTTTGTGAGAAAAAAAGTATTTCGTTGTGTTATTCTTAGTGAAAATATATGATAAAAATGAGTGGCAGATCTACTATTTGGACTTATTTTAGAGAAACTGACGACCAAAGTAAAGTGAAATGTACTAATGTAATGTATATATTGGTTACTTTGTTTGATTCCAAAAACATTTAATCAAGCTTCCTGTTTGCTATAATTGGAAAGAAATATGTGCCTCGAAAACATAACCTATACAACTAGATTTAGCCCATAAATAAAATATACTTTGGCACGACATTACTCAATCCGTAAATTTCAATACAGTGGACACTGAGTACCGTTTTAACGAATGTTCGGTAATTTAGCCGAATATTCGTCCGAAAACGAATATTCGGTAAAGCTACCGAATACGCCGAATACCGAATATGAGACGAATATTCGGCCCATCTCTAATAATAAGTGTGACAAACTAACATACAGACGACCGCATGATAAGTGAACACTGGCCCATAGAGATCTACATCAATGATCGATTATGAATCCAAATGCAGATGCGTTGTCAACCTTGAGACTTTAAGTCTAATAATATGATGATAGATTGCATGTGGACTTCGAGCGCACGAATCCTCCACTCTCAAATAGAGCCGGCCCTCGATTTCTAAATTAAATTTATTTTATATATTATCGTCAATAGCAAAGAACATTTATTATTTTGATGGAATAATATTTACATAAAATAATACTAATTCCGCAGTAGAACCGTGCTGCAGCTGTAATATTGTTATAGCACGAATAGCACTCACAGAATACCAACGTGAACCAGTAGAATCCTGGTTTCGTATAGCGAGTGTAGAAAACCGCATACCTTTTTACTGGTTACGAGGTATTTCGTTCCTATCCTTAGGTGTGACAATGCACTTGCATTTTGATCCATAATAACTGATTGATGTAGATGCCTATGGGCCGCAACATCACTTTCCATCAGGTGGACTATGCGCTTGCCGTAATCTATAAATATAACATAAATATCTTATGGGAAAAAGAAACAATCTGAAATTTAATAGAGCATCTTTGATATTTAAAACTAGAGAGCTCTGGAGCTACTTTATATTTTACTAGGTGTTAACACCTCCTTTCTAGTTAGGAGGCCTTCTTTGTGGGTCAAGCAGTCTAGTGCTTACATTGCTGTGTTCCGATCTGAACGGTACAGAGATTCTATTATATAATCTATGTGGCATTCCATCTAAAGATCTCACAGATGATAACAAATCTGCAGCCTTTTGTCGCTTGAAGGTGCATGCAGATGTCGAATTTTATAAAATAAAGAAAAAAGACTATAATATGTTAGTTTAATTTATTGCCATTTGGGATCAAAAATAAAACTATGTCATAGTATTATCATTCTGAATCAACAAGTTGTATCTTATCAGTTATTATCAATAGGTGTGGGGATACTGATTGCAATGTTTTCCTTAGTTCATTTGTGTTTCCCAATGTTTTTACTGTTAAAGAGATTTTTGTAAATCTGCGTAACCTGTTTTTGCTATTAAGTTTCAAAGTGAAAATCAATATACCTTTTTTATTTTATTATTGTAACAATGTACTATCTTCTGTTATACAATAATTCTAGTGTAGTGCAGTGTAAAAACAAAAATGGTAGTATGTGAATTAGACAAAGAAGTTTCAGGGGAAATACTGGGAAAGAAACTATCAGTATGGCAGGCGTTACTTCTCCATCGGGTACTGCCATCTTGGGGTGGACTTGTTGTTTACATGACTGTTATTTGTTTCGATATGACTCTTATTTACGAGCATTTCCGTAACGGTGATGATGCGTAAGATATTTAAAAATTACTTGTTTTATTTTTTACGAGTCCGTGCTCTAAATCACTGAGTAGTATTATCCAATACGGATGGCGACAGTCAGTGTCGAATTTGAGGTGTTAAAGCTCTTGAACACCGTGACACGGTGGAATAGTTGGTGGCCCCGAATATCTTTTAAAAAAATATTCCAGTGTTTTAATATGTTACATTTTAGAAAATTAGCGTTCAACTGTAGTTCGATACTTGCCATCTTTTTTAGCCTTCTTTTATTGTTGTCTTATTTTATACTTCTCTTGTGGAAGGTCTAAGGCTTTAGCTGGTGTTATTATAGTGAAGTTTTATACCCATCCATCTTTATGTCTCGCACATCATAGGCGAAAAAACAGTTTTATGCTAGGTAGATTACGATGGTAAGAATTTACTTAAAACTCTATTGATGACGATATTTATATTGGGTTATAGGGCTGCTTTGCTGCCTAGGTGTCCGTTGGGCAGATACCATGTTCTTTTCTATTTGTAAAGCTAAACTGCAGTTAATCACCTGCCGTTAATTAAGCACTTGTGGTCTAAAATTTGTCGCAGCTGTCCATGAGTGTCACGGCGGCCGGAATAAACAGAGACATATCTGCTCAGGATAGGATTATAGTTTTATAGTAGTACACAAGTGTGTGCGCAAGCACACATGCACTCTCTATTCCCTAACTCTCATACACCGATGAGACGGCGATATGATTCGCCCGGAAAAAGCGAGACAGGCGTAGGTGCTTTTCGAGGTAGGCGGGTAAAACACCACCAACTTCCTGACTCCGGGCTACTACTGAGAATTTCTTGACAGAAAAAATCAATAACTGATTTGGTTTCGACCCGGAATATGCACTTGAGACTACACGATCAGCAGTTGCGCTTACTACTAGACCAACGAGCTATCAAATTAATGTCTGTCTGGCAGACTGGCAGACTTGAGCTATACTAGCCACTGAACGTAAGGTGATGAGGAATTTTAGTCGTTTTGGCGTTTGCCACATCAAGAGTTATAAAAAAAAAACTGAAAAATTGTCTGGTCGAGTACGGAAATAATTATTATCTTGGCTTAGGAACATAAAACATGAAGCATTATATCGAATTATTAGTTTTTTCATTTAAATTACACTACCTCCCACACTAGGCATTGCTCTTGTATATTGGAAGTGTGTACATAACTACATAACTTGCCCATTCACATGCATCCAGACGCGAAACAATTATAACACTTGTGAACCAAACAAATACTTCCTTCGTGCGGAAATCGATCCCGCGGCCTGAGCACGACAGCCAAACCGTTTGGTTATTGCGCTATTGAGCTCTTAAGAGTCGAGACCACAGCAACTAAGACAATAGTTTCTTTTTTAAGAATATGTGCCGTTATTAAATAAAATAGAATAGAATAATTTTAATAAATATAGTGTAATGTGTAGTTATACTTATTATAGTTATAGATAATAATTAAGTCATTTATACTTTAACCACTGTTTCTGAAAAACCCTGTCTTGAGAAGAATCAGCAAGAAGTCCAGCGTCACTTTTTTAAATAATAATTTAAATTGACACTATGTTGTCACCTCGTTTGCAAGGCATATTATCAATCATGTATTCTTTATATTACCTACTTTAAATAACTAAAACAGTTTTCCTTTAATATAAATATTATTTTCTGGGACTTATTGTAAAAGGTTTCCCCATGAAATCGGACTTTTCTTGGAAACTGACTTTAGTCTTCGTGCTTGCTTCTTGTATTTACAAATGCACATACGTAACTATTTAGGTACTTTCATTTCTCACAAATATCTCGGGTACACTTATCAATATTAAGTGGGTATATCAATATCTCTCGGCTATCAGTACTGCAATTTTTTCTTCATCTATTCATTTTCTTTCCTCATAAGTATCGCGTCCTCTTCCACTACCTATATCACTATTCTTTCTCTCGCTATTATGCTCTTCCTTCATTGATGGTGATATAATCCTCAGAGAGACTGGACTAATAGGCTATAAATCCAGGCTTTGGGTAGCAACATAACCTGCATGAAAACAGTCAAAATTGTGACCAGCAGTTGACCTTAACAGCTGATTGTATCTATAATTAATCGATAAAAGTAAAAAATGACTCAAAAATAACTTCAAACTTCTCTTTGAATAAAAAAATATTCTATTGCATTCTAATATCATTGTGACGAATAAAATTCTATTCTATTCCAAGGAAATAATAAATATGTGTAATTTATTTTAGGCTTGCTGTTTTCTGCATAATTCTGATGAGTTTTCCGGCTTTGCTGTCGTTGGTGTTTACGTTAGCATCGCCACCACCTGGCCTGCAAACAGAAATGACCGCCTTCGAAATGAGTATTGGGAAAAATGACTTGAAATGGATTTTAATGCAAATTGTTAATGCAATCTTTTTTCCCATTGCAGCTATCGGTAGGTTAGTATTACACTGGATACGAGGGTAGGTCAAACTTTTCGGGAATGAAATGGTTGACGGGGGTGGGCTGCTCATCCAGGATGTTACTAATTGAGTGATTCATTATTTAGCATTTTGGTCTATTTTGAAAGCACGGACAAATCAATTTTTAGACTGTATCTATTAATATGTCATTCCATAGATCTGAAAAAAGTGTAATTCCTCTTGTCATTGCGCGAACTTTTCGATCTCTTCACGTATGAATAATAATTAATTAATATAATATAATAGTCGCTTTTTATTTATGTGTTCAGACAATGTCGGAATTTATTACTTTGAAATTTTCGTATAATATATGTACTTGTAATTATGTTGTGGATACTTGTTGCAGTACCAATTAACAATCCTTAATTGATGTACATATAAATTAGTTTAACTATCAGATTATTATAGATATAAACAAAAGCTAAACACGGTAATAAAAATAAAACAATAAAAATAGATAAATAACAATGGATGACCCGTTTTAATTTAATTTTCAGATATTGTTATTTAATATTTTGGTGGACTGAGGGCGTCTTCGCCTCTTACGCAGAAGACGAGGAACGCATAGAAGAAGCTCTGTTATTTGCAAGAGCCCCTTCGCCGCTGGAATTATACTTGTTCCTTCAAGCTTTCATACATTCAGCACCTCATGCAATTGTTAACATTTTAGATCTAATGCTGCGGGTGTCTGATCCGACATATGGTAAAGGTAAAAGTTTATTTATTTTTATAATGATTTTATGATTTCTTATACATATTAACATGAATGGTAGCCATTAAATAAAAGTAATTTTAAGGATTTTATCGCGTTTAATCAATTTTTTTTTAACTTATTTTAGTATCCGACTCTGCGTCGTGCAGCATCCATGATCACGGGAGGGACTTAGGTGTTTGACGTCCCGAAGTCATCGTTAACCCAAACTAGAAATCAAAGCAAATTTCTTGATGTTATGTGTTCAAGGTTCACCCCGCTATTACATCAAATTTGATAAACCAAAAACCTCGCAAAAGAATACCGATTCCTGCCCTGTAAGATTCGCAAGGCTAATAAAAATACAACCAAATTTCAACAGACGAGATGGATGTGTATTACCATCCACTTGGGATTCCATAATGAATAAAATTAAATCAAAATCTAAGCACACCATTGCAAGAGTTCAAGATTATGTTTTGTGATTCTATTTTCTCTAATTAATATTCAAAAGCTGAAGGGAGGTTAACTATGACATCGGGACGTAAAACACTTCGGTTTCTCCTGTGACCATGGATGCTGTAAAGTACGCGTAATAAACGCGTAACCATGTAGTGGCGGGGTTAGAATATCCACTATCCCATATCACCCCGTGGATGTCGTAAGAGGCGACATCTAAAGTTTAGGGGAAATCCGGGAGACTTGCCCAGGTGGGAGAGTTGAACCATCTTTCAAAACTATATTTAAATTTAGTGGGAATGGAACGTCAATGCGTTCATTGGTCACATGCGAGAGGCAAATATGCCTCCATTTTGCATCATGGCTGTTTAATTTGGCAGTGAGAATGTAAAACGTGTTTTTGTTGCTGCGGAGTGTTTTTTTTTAATTTAAGTAGTTTTGTGATTGCTGTCGTGTTTATTGTTTCGTTGTGTCGTCATCGTCGTGTTGTTTTATATTGTTTCACAATAATTTAGAGACTGATACATGATGCTAAATTATTAGAAATAAGTTAATAATAAATAAAAACAAATAAGTAATAACATGTTTTTTTAAAGAGATTATTGTTGCAGTTTTGTGTTGTTTTTTGGAACGTTTTATTACAATTGTTATGAACATTTATAATTTTTTATGTTTTTCTTGCAAGGAGTACTAAAGCAAATTAATTATTGTAAAAGATAACTTAATAAAGCTATGAATAAAGCTGAAAATTATTTTTCTTGTCCCCAAAATAGTATGGTCCACTCTCCCATACCACGGTTCAAGTGACCCTCTTGGTGGGGAGACTTGACTTATATTCCATTTTTTATAAAAATGCCAATAAAATTTTTACCTGCGCTTTATATAAAAAAAAAAAATTATGAACAAATGTAGCTTCCATAATAAGGTATCGCAAAAAATGTATTATCGATCCTCTAAACTCTATGAACAAAAAAAAGATATTTTATATAAAAAGCGGTTCAACTCTCCTGGATTCCCCCTATTGTCGAATATAAGCCTTCGCTGTAAGTTGCCTCATAAGGGGCACTTTTGCCATAGTTGCCAGGCTCGGTAAGTGCGTTGGCAACTGCATAGTTGTTATCATGGATATGGGCAACAGCGTATTTCCTATTTCTTTTTTCCTTTGTCGCCTAGAATAATATGGGATTGTGGATTCTCTGATACCGCCATTACATAGCAATTATAATTACACACAAAAGTGTTACATTTTGAACAATCATTCATAATATCCATTTGAAAATTATAATATTTATATTTTATAGTTTCAGTTCAGGCAGTTAGTATTATCGCATCATGTATGCGAATGGCGAGCACGGCTACCTTATACAGAAGATTTGAACGAGAGAAAATATGCGGTCGTAAATATCCTTGGGGTAACGCAGGGAATGCTGAAAAGGATAATGTTAAAAATGAAGGGGTCGAAAAACGCAATGAAGATAATAATGTATCCGAACATATTTACGAACCAATTAAAAGACAAAGTAGCAGTTCTAACAAATCTACCGATAGCAAAAATGAGGCGAACAATGATTTGATTCAATTCTCCCCACGCAATTCAGAAATGACTTCTTCGTTGTACGAAGATAGTGCATTTGATTCTGATACAAGTTCAAATTACTTGTCACCGATAACGTTACGTGATGAAAATACGGGGAGTGATAACGAATATGTTCGACCGATATCAATTGTGGACAAGGTGGCACCTTTAAGACAAAAGAGGGAATATGTTATTGAAAACGTTTATGTTCCCCCACCACCAGTGATGGATGCGCCTAGACCTGGCTCTTTAGCACTCTGGGCAGAAAAAATCGTTGAAAATGCAGAAAATATTCCTACCTGGCTATCAGCTCCACCCAGAAGAAAACATTGGGAGGTAGTTCAAGATGAGCCTGACATTCCACGTCGTGTTCCCAGATCTTTCATTCGTGGTCTCGAACCTCAAGATATAACTGCTGGACTAGTTCAATACTTAGGCTGGTACTCCTTCTTTGTATCACGATTGCTCTCTATTTCTGCATTTATCAATTTCTTTCCCTACGTGGCTATTATAATCCTTTTCTCTCATTATCAAGTTATGTTACTCTTTCTAATAGTTCCGCAAGCTAGCACGGTAAAGAGGGCATTTTATATGTTTCTTGCCTTTATCTATTTATTTTGTCTAATGGAATTTAAAATACGCTTTAGACACGTGCGAGTGTGGCACGCGTTTTGGCTCATAGCATGTACCATCGAGAATATAATTTTTATAGCGTTGTGGGCCAGCATTGATAACTATTTCGACAGTTGGTGGAGACGATTTGTTGTGATAGTAACTTTTGGCAGTATGTTGTTAAGTTACATGTGTCTTCTCGTGTATTTTGTGTTATTAAAGCCAAGAGAAACCGTGGTTCCTATTAAAAATAGTAAAGTAAGCGCTAGTAAAGCTTTATGAAAATAATACAAAAACGTTATTAGCAATTTGTATGCGTCTTATACATCACATAATATACGGACGCATATTTTTACTTTTAATTTTTCTTCCATTTGTAAAAGTCTTTTATTTAATTTGTTACATACCATGTTCTGATTTGTAATGAGCCATTTTGTAATTATAACTTGGCACTTCGCACATGCATCTAATGCTAGTTCGGAAGTCATGGTTTCAACTTTGTTGTATAAATATGGTTTTATTAATAAAGGTATTATTATTATTATTGTTAATATTCGTCATCGTCGAACTACTGTACTGAGTAGACGTGTGTTAATTCTGGCGAAAAACATCTAAATAGTGCTCCTCAAATTTGTTTCTTATATTCAAACGTAATGGATCTTAAATTCTGTGAAAGGTGATTTATAACAAAAACCTTAATTTTAAAGTGAAGATAAATACTCTATCAAAGCACGATTGCACCAGCGAGCGGGGCGACGTACTTCACCTCCGCGGGACCAGTTCAGTGGCTATTTTTTGACTCCCTCGCACACTGACCCGGTGTCTAAGCATACAGTACTGCGCGTGAGTTGTGTATTTAATATCTTACGTAAACAAAAAATTCTTGAAGTTTGTTTGTATCATTGTAAACTAAATTATATATTTCTTTGCAACTGCAACAATGAATATAATGCGATCTCCACCTACTACCGCCGGCGGTTCGCAACCTGACTTGTCAAAAATTCCGGCAGATAATATTTCCGATACACAAATTACTTTTAGAAAATGTAAACAACCGGCTGATCGTGAATGCCAATGTTCGGATGAGATTAAGTTGGTGCGAAATGAGTTATCACGAATAACTTCCTTATTAGAAAATTATATTTGGGCAAATACACAAATAATGAGTCAAATGAACCAGAGTATTGTTGAAGTTAAGAGTGAAATTGCCGATCTATGGGCCTCGCATGAACAAACTAGAAACTTGATTAGCTCTAATGTAGCAGAAATTTGTATGCAAATCCAAGACATTAAGACCACCACGTCAAAACTATAGAAAACAGTCATATAAAAACTTAGTTATCGCAGTTGCAATCAAAAGTGTCAAACGGTGAAGATAAAATAAAGTTACTTGAAAACGACATTAAACAATTATGTTTAAGCTCGCCAGCCACTCAAACTAATTAGCTGTTTGCAAATGAACAAATAATTTGCGAAGTCCAAGAGCGCAAAAAGAAAGAAAATAATATAATTGTAGTTGGCATACCAGAACAAAATTCCACCAGCACCGAAGAGCGGATCATCAAAGACGAGGTTGAGGTTTTAAACATTACTTCAATGATAGAAAAAGATATTCCGAAACCAAATAAGATTTTCCGCATTGGCAAGTATAATACAGGAGAATAACGAAGGGTTAAAGTCTGCTTTGACAAATCAGTGACAGCCAAGGTACTCCTCCGCAACAAAGAGAAATTGCCTGATAATGTAAAAATTTTTTCGGACCAAACACCGGCTCAACAAAAATACTTCACGAAGATAAAAGATGAACTTTCACGACGTACAAAAAATTGAAGGAAGTGATCTCATAATGAAATACGTCAACGCCATACCAAGTATTATAAAATCGGTTTCAAAAAACTCCAATCACCAATAATAAATAATACCTCACCCGATGCCATAAACTATCAAATAGTTAACGACTACCAACTTATGCATACTAAAAGATCACGTTTATCATTTCTCTACTTAAACGCTCGTAGTATTCGGAAGAAAGGCAAACTAGATGAACTTAAATGCATCATAAAATCAATATCAACAACTGTACATATTATTATGCTCACAGAAACTTGGATACAGACCGAAAATTAAACTTTACAACTACAAATCACTAACTACACACTTTATTCCAACTACAGGATGGATATAAGAGGAGGTGGAGTATCAGCATACATACAAAACAGCTTAAAGTGTTATGTGTGGTACACATAACCTTATTGAATCGACTTACCAAGACGGAAATAAATATTGGATAAAAATTCAAAAATTTGCACTAGATGTTGGCGTGGTTTATTATCCTGGACATACCAATTTTCCAAAATTTTTGGAAGTATAGGACAAACAATTACAGCATCACAGGAAAGCTATAGTTTTCGGAGATTTCAACATTGACTTGTTGACAAAAAACAATAAATTAAAACAGTACAAGCAAATAGTCAAAGAATCAGGATATAGATTACTCAACAAAATAAACCAAACCTATTGTACAAGAGACTCCACCACGAAGAAATCGATCATAGACCATGTTAGCACTAACCTAAAAGGTGACCATTTCAATATTGTTATGATCAATTCACCTATGACAGACCATAAACAAGTTTTTGTACAATTAAACAGATTTAAACCACCGAAAAAAATACGTGAACGCTATGAAGCAATTAAATATAAGAAACTATATAACTCGATAGAATCACACGGATTTAAAGAAGACTTAAATTACAGTCAATTGGAAACTAAACTCAAACAATACGTTGAAGACAATAAAGTAATAAAAACCAAAATACTAAATCCACCACAAGAAGACTGGATTAATAACAATATACTTACTGGCATTAGTCAAAGAAACTATTTGTGGATGCAATACAAAAATAATCGAGAAAATGAATCATTAGAAAAAGAGTTTAAACTGAAGAGAGATACAGTGGCTAAGCAGATCCAATATACGAAAAATTCCTACTATTATAAACTATTTCAAAATTATACTAATAACCCAAAAAACAGTAGCAACTTATAAGCAATCTAGCAAACAATAAAATAAAACAAAGTTGTGCTTCTCCAAAACTTATTGTAGATTCCAAGGTAATCAATAACACAGTCGAGATTTGTGAGATTTTTAACTAATGAACTATTGGACCACAATTAGCAGATAAAATACCTAAAAAATATCAAAGTAGCTCCACTTATCCTTTCTCTAAAACACAAACAGCTAATAGTAATGAACTTTCTACACTAGCCCCATGTACTGCTAGTGAAATTCGTAAAATTATACAAAGCCTCGATTCGAATTCTAGTAGTGGCATAGACAGAATTAGCACAAAAATAATAAAGAGCCTACAAAATTTGATAGTACATGACTTAGCTCAATGTTTCAATAAAATTATGATCGATGGAGAGTTTCCAGATACTATGAAGATTGCAAAGATAACACCAATCTATAAATCGGGACTTGAAACCGACCCAGGAAACTATCGTCCGATATCGGTATTGCCGGTCATGTCAAAAATTTTAGAAAAAGTCATACATAATCGTTTAGAAAATTACTTAAATTCTTTTAACTTTATATCAGAACGGCGATATGGATTTCAAGCCAAAAGTAGCACCACTACCGCAACAATCGATCTAACAACGAAAGATAGTATAGATAAACGGCAAGTGGCTTTAGGTGTATTTATCGATTAAAAAAAAGACTTTGATACTATAAGTCACAAATTGCTATTAGAAAAACTTGAAAGCATCGGAATCAAAGGTAGTGCTCTTAAAATATTTAAATCATACCTATCAAATAGATCGCAAGTAGTGAAGGTGGATAATTTTCAAAGTAGTGCCTTACCTATCACGCGTGGTGTGCTGCAGGGATCTATACTTGGGCCACTCCTATTTCTAGTTTATATTAACCAAATCGCAGAGCTAGGGTTACATGATCATCTAACTTTGTATGCTGACGATACATGTCTATTTTATTTCGGATCTAAAAAACATATTATCTTGCAAGCGCAAGAAGATCTAGAACAATTGTCTGAGTGGTTCCGATATAACTTGCTAACGGTAAACACTTCTAAAACATGTTACATAATTTTTAAAGCAAAGAACAAAACTATACCATTATATGCCCACTGACAATTGATAACATCCGCTTAGAACAAATAACCTGCGAAAAATACCTAGGCTTGAGAATGGACAATTACTTAACATGGAATAGGCAAATCTAAAAAAAATGCGGTTTACATTAAAAGTAAACTTTCGGCACTTACTGGATCACTTCACAATATTTCCCATTATCTACCTAAAAAAATGCGTTACACTATTTATAACTCATTAGTTAAATCGCATTTACTTTATCTCAGTGATGCACAGACTTATTAAGACTAGGGGCCACTCGGGCAAATTATGAACTGATGGCGGGCCGCCAGAAGTATAGGTAATTAAAGACAATAAAGAATTGATAATAATGTATTAAAATTGAAAAAGAATTTATTAATTTGAAGCGTTGCGCACTGCTTAGTGCTTACAATCTTTTTTATATTTGGCTCAAATTTACTTGTAGCAACACGTAAAACTGCTTCCAAACTTTCATTTGCAAGGCGGTTTCGATTTTTTGTTTTATTATCATTTAGTATTGGAAAGGTTTGTTCACATATATAGGTAGAACCAAATAAGCTGGCACATTTCAGAGTGTTTATGCGCAACTCTTTGTACGTATTTTTATCAATGCAGCGGTAGAAGTTCAGCAAGTCTCCTTCGTTGAATTTGTTGCGTAAATCTTGGTCGTTTTGAATGTCGATAATTTATAACTGCATTGACTCTGGCGCATTTTCAATTGAAATCGTGAAAGGATTGCTGAATATGTCCAACAGAAGTTTCACTTTTTTTAAACTCCGAAAATCTGTCTTGAAAAGATTGAATCAAAATATCTTGCTTTTCTACATAACTGAAATTAATCGCAGTTTTGTTGAATTTTTCAGCAATTTTCTTATAATTCGGAAAATGATTGTAATTTCCAGAATTCAATTGCGATCTGAAAAGTGTCAGCTTGCATTGAAAGGGAGATGCATGTGGGTAGAGCTGGGATATCAGTTGGTTTTTGCCTTGAAGCCGTGTGTTCAAGACATTCAAATGAATTTGTAATATCAAGTAAAAAAGCCAAATCACACAATCAATCAGGATTTTTAAGTTCCGGGACATCCCTTTGCTTTTCCGCCAGAAATATTCCAATTTCAGTGTCAATCCACGACTTAGCCACCTTACTT